AGCTCGCTATCTTGGTTTGAATGTTGTGACAGAGGTCTATAGCAAAGCTCGGTGGCTAAAGGTCACGCCGTATCTATGCCTGTTCATTATAGCGGGCTGTAATCTACCAGTGCAGCCACAACTCAGCCGGATCTTGATTTTGCAGAGAGTTAATGAAGTGAGGGAGGGCTGGAGACACAAAGTCTCAGCAGCTGGCTGGGGGACAGCGGATTTCAAAGGGAAAAGCTTCTTTGTTTTGTTTTGTTTACTCTAAGAGGCAAAAACTTCAGCCTGGAGGCCCCAAACCCATAGATCCCTGTAGCTAAGCCCAGACGAGGCTTCATACGTTTTGGCACACATGGGAATAAAAGGACTTGGATTTCTGGATAACGCTCAATGTATAATTACAGTGAGGTTTCCTGGATATCCAAAAGGATATCATGGCTTATCTGGGAAGATGTGAGAGCTGAGGTGTTTTCCCTGACCAGGACCTCTTATCTTGGAGTAGTTCAGCTATCTGAGATGGTTTATCTTGCTCTTCATTTAACTCAGCCTGTAATGAGAAATGCAATTCCTGCTCTAGCAGAAAAGTGTAGCAGACGTGGCTTTCTTTTTTTCCTTTATCCTTTTTATCTTTTATCTTTTATTTTTCCTTTTTTCTTTTTATCTTACTTTTTCCTTTTTTTTCCATTTAACCTTTTTTCCTTTTTTACTTCCCTTCCCCCCCCCCGCTCCTTTTTTTCTCTTTCCTTTCCTTTCCCTTTCTTTTCCTTTCTCCTTTTCTTATACACCATACCCTATAATGTACCGTAATTCATCTAACAAGTGCCATACACCTTGTTATGGTGCCTTCCACCTAATGCCACAAAAGCACCACAATATCTTAGTCTGGAGGTTTTAAATTTAATATTCATCCTCTCCACCCCCTTTTTGTTTTTTCATATTGTCTCCATCAGTCACTAATTCTTTCACAAAACTCCTTTAACCAAGGGGAAACTAATGGAGGTTGATGTTTCTCTCAGTGCATCCTCCTCCTTTCCAGTGTGTGCATTAAGCCGTATGTTATGCTTGTTTCCAGGTAAGTTGTTCCACTCTGCTCTCTTCTGTACTGCTTGCTTCTGAATTGACATTTTCAGTGCCATGTGAACTAAAGCTCCTGCATGAATTAGTAATTTGATAACCAGAGTCCAAGCCAACTGCCTATATTGTCACACAGTCAAATATTAACTGTTAAAAATCACAGGTGCTCTTTACATCAAATCGTTTTCACATGTAAATGTAGCCTGAAGGTTGAGCGACTTCAGCTTGTCCTATTCCAGTGGCACAAGTCAAAGGCAAGTATAAGAGTCGGAAAGAAAAGGATGCAGTAGTTATAGCCCTGCTCCATGAATGACAAGAGGTAGCGATTAATGCAGGACGCATTCCTGAGCATTACCAATTCTCACAGTACCCAGCTGAAAGAGGCTGTTAAATGTTTCCAAACCACTTCAAGGGGAAGCAGGGGCCATGCAGTTGAAAGACATGCCTGCAGAGGGGACCTGATAAGATCGCAGAGATCCTTGTCACTTCATTCCCTGCTTTTCCCTCTAGCCACAGGTGACCCAGAGCAGCAAGGTGAGGCATTTCAGCCACACATCTCAAAGCAGAGAGATGCTACAGCAGTGGGATCCTTCCTTTTCAGTTTGTAGGTGGTGGCTGGCTTGCTTTTCCTGAAGAGCAGGGGCTGAGGCTCAAAGCTGAGTGCAAACCAAGCTACCAGCATATGCCGGCCTCTGTCTATAGCAGTAGAGAAGAAAGCGCAATGTGCTAGGTTTACCTCTCCCAAGAAGTTTAAAGAGCACAATGACTGTTTAGCTGTCCATATGCTGTTGCTATTGCAGGATAGTCCCAAACTAAAGTGGAGTGCATGCTTTGGAAAGAAGAGCTTGGTTGAAGTAAAGGAAAACTATAAAGTAAAGAAGATAAGGATGGCAAAAATGCGGGGTTGGGGGGTAGATCATGAAGAAGCAGTAGCAAAAGATAGGAAGGTAAAGAAAGCCCCAGCAGCAGTGAGACACCTCCGCATTAACATCACAACTGATACGCAGATAGACTGCACAGCTGGTTAAAGTTGTAAAGTAGGTATGCTTTTATTCAGCGCTGAGACGCGTGGGGGATAGCTCCTCCAAAGGCATGGTGCCTCAGTGTTGTTTCCCTCTCCATTTATTCTCTCAAGTTATACATACTCATAAGGTTGCACAATACGCCTATACACATTCATGTCTTATCCCTGCTTCGTATTATAATGAGCTAGAAGGTCCTTTGGCCTGCGCACTGCCCCCCCCGGTCATGGGTGAGGGTCTCAAGATGAAGTAAATGAGTCTTCCTCGAGCCTGAACTTTTCACTTCTAGTTATCACGCATGCTCTTTAGGAGTCTGGTCAAAGTCCAAACCACAAAGCTGATCTTCACTGGAACTAAGTAACTGTTCCTCCCCCTTATATCAGTCTGTTTCTCCCCCTTATCAATAGCCTATTGTCCTGGTACTACATGGCATTCTTGACAGGTATTTGCAAACAATGCTTTCTGTTAAACAGGCAAAATTCCTTTATCCCCTCTTGCACAACCCCTTTGTACAACCCCGTTGTAATTGGTCAACCCTCTGCATCACAACAACCCCCCTCGTTCCTGTTCCCCTAACAATGCTAAAGAACAAAGCAGGGAAGGATGGATGGAGAGTCAGTGCCCGCGGGAATAACCTGGAGAATCGGGACTGTGCCCCCCTTTGAAGCAGCCACACAACCTGGATGCAATTTTCATTTCCTGCAGGGAAGTGCGGCCTTGTTCTTTGTGAAGTGGATAAACCAAGCCTCATAAAACTAATTGTGGGAGGTGGTTTGACATGAGGAACTGGAAATCAAGGTTTAGCCTCTCTTATGCACAGAGCAGTGAAGCAGGGGCGCTTCAGATCAACTTCCCTTGTCCTTTTGGTGCTTTCTTCCCAAAGGCTTTCGAATCTGTGGTGATTGTACCTCTTGGTACAGAGCCAGAGCCAGAGGTAACTAAGTCAGCAGCATTCCTAAATGGATGTCGTTAATAGTGTATTTGGGGCTGCTTTGTGATAAACTATCAATTTATCAACTTCAAGCCCATAAAACTAGTGTGGTAAAATGCAAATGTTCCCTTTGGTTAAGTTCTGAGGGAGGAGGAGGCACTGATAATATCTACTTCATTCATGCTAGTGAATGACCAAGACATAATTGGCTCCACATTCACTGTTAGCAAATAGTGTTAGTCACAATAAAAGTACTACCATTTAAGCGAAAAGCCATGTGGGATTACCAAAACTCCATTTAGAAGTCTTTAGCTCCCTCTGACTTCTTTTAATGGGGAAAATACCTTCGAAGGATAAGGATGTCTATATAGCTGTTATGGTGGCTTTGCACAAACAAGTCTTCTAATTTCAGCATTATTAACCAATGTGCTGTGCGGAGCATGTATGCCTGTCATGAGACAGCAGATAGAGTTCATTAGTTTACATTTTAAGGAAGGAAATGTTGTTGACTAGAGCTGTTAGAATTGATAATGATGGGAAAATCCAGCCTTTGGGTGTTTAAGGATGAATGCTGCTGAAGTGAGACTTGCAGGGTAAATGTAGGTGGAATACAAGACACAGAGCAACTGGAGGTGAGTCCATGGGTCTAGTTTTAGGAGGAGGGGTAAGGGGAGAAAATGGCCTTTTTAACTGTGAAGAAAAGCAACCATTAAAGCAAATGCTCCCTGATCCCTGCTCTTCCAGGGTTATTTCTGCTGAGATGACCTGACATTATCGCTGTTATACTGGGGATGTGACTGTCCCCTGGGGCTATGGTGCAGGGCTCCAGCTTGGGAACCGCAGCTTCTTGTACCCATTGAGTCTCTGCTGGTTCATTTATCCTCTGAGCTGCTAAAACGCAGTCTGGTTCACTGTGGATAGTTACCACCCTCTGCTCCAGAACTGGCCCAAATCAGAATCACAGAATCCCAGCCTGGTTTGTGTTGGAAGGGACCTTAAAGCTCATCCAGCTTCAACCCCTGCCACAGGCAGGGACCCCTTCCACTGGAGCAGCTTGCTCCAAGCCCCTGTGTCCAACCTGGCCTTGAGCACTGCCAGGGATGGGGCAGCCACAGCTTCTCTGGGCACCCTGTGCCAGTGCCTCAGCACCTTCCAATATCCATTTTTTTAAGTGGGATTGCATGAGTACTGTACATGCTGGTGTACACACACATATGAGGCCAGTTTTGACAACTGTCTCATGGAGAGCATGGGGCCAATCCACAGAATTAAGCATTGCAATCCAAACAGTGGGATTTGGGAAGAACCTTCATAAAACTGCCCAGTAAAAGCCTGTAAGGATTTACAGGATTAGGTTCTTTCTTTCTACTCCTCAGCAGCATTCTGTGCAACATGTGGGCACTGTGTGTGTTTTGGTGGTACTTTAAGGAATATATAATCTGCATTTGGTTATTCTCCCAGACTGTCAGTAGTAATAACTTGAATGAGGAAGACTTTAAAAAATGCATCTGGCAACTGTGGCTGTGTTGGGCTTGGTATTATTATTATTTTCTTTTAAAAACCCCACAATGTAAGTCAGAGACACCAGAAACAGCTCCAAAACAGGGCAGTGTTCAAGGCCAGGTTGGAGCAACCTGCTCTAGTGGAAGCTGTCCCTGCCCGTAGCAGGGGGTTGGAACAGGGTGAGCTTGAAGGTCCCTTCCAACACAAACCAGCCTGGGACTGTATGGTTCTAAACCCAGTAAATACCCCCTGGGCTCTAACATACACAGATAGCGTTCCAAAGGAAGCACCGGGTCTGACTGTGCTATAGAGCCCTTGGCAGAGGGGGGGATGTTGTGGGCACCCCGGAGCCACCGGGGGAGCAGCGCTGTGCTCGGCGCTGCCCGTGCGGCGGGCGGGCGCTAGGACCCCGCGGAGGGCCGGTTGGAGCTCATTTGTTCCATGGCGAGGAGCGCAGGACGGGCTGCAGCGGTCAGCAAGGCTTTTCTTGCCAAAATACCACAAACCAACCCCAAACTAACCCCCAAACCTCTTTAAAAAGAGAGAGAGAAAAAAAACCCTTCAACTCTTCCTTTCTTTTTTTCCCCCCTCCTTCCTAAGAAAGCAGAGCCCAGCTCATCAGCAGGAGGGGTTTTGGAGTTAACTGCATGCAGGAAATCTCTCACATCCTGAGTCCCAGCTCGCTCCTCTCTGTAACTGTATATTATGGGGCTTCTCTCCAGCCCCAGCTGATGAAAGTTTGTCTCCCTCAGCCTGGGCTAAGATGTCAAAGCGCCTCCGCGCCCAGCGCTTCCCCCCCCCGGCGCGGGTGTCCGCGTTGCTGCTCAGCCTCGGCTGCCTCCTTCCAGCATCCCCCGCCGCTCAAGGTAAGCTCACCACGAGCCCCACCGAGCTCCCCTCACACACTTCCTCACCCGACGCTCCATTTTTAACGGGACAAGCACCGGAGCGAGGATTCAGCCGCGCTGCCTGCGCTCGTTTTGCGCACCCCTCCGCGCTTCCCCCCTCCCTTTCCTGGCCTCCGCCACGCTGCGCTCCGCTCTCCCCGGGACGCGTAAGTCCCGCTCCTCTGCGCGGCGTGTGGATTTCCAAGCCTTTCCAGGGAAAACTCTGCTTTGAATCCCCGACATCCCCCCCCCCCCCCCCAATCGACCCTGCACCCCCCAGGGTGAGCGGAATGGTTCGGGGAGCCCCCGGTGTGGGGATGTCCTGGGCATCCACAGCGTGTGTAGAGGTGCGCTGCAGAGTCCTAGTGACTCCCGGTGTGTGCGCTCTTGGGGGTCCTTGGGGACCCCCAGTGTGAGGGGGTGCTGGGGACACCCGGTTTAGGGGATGCGCTGTCCGGTCCCCAAGACTCCCTGTGTGGCTGCTGCCCTGCAAGGTCCTGGTGTTTGGATGCACTGCTGGGTCCTGGGACTCCCAGTGTGGAGGGTCTGTGTTGGGGATCCCCTGCATGAAGTGTGCCCCGTTGGGGTCCTGCGGACCCCCAGTGTATGGGAGGGTCTGCTGAACCCCTTGTATGGGAGTGCCCTGCGAAGTCCCGGGGACCCCCGCTGTGTGTATGGGTGCGCTGCGGGATCCCCGGGACCCCCCGGTATGCGGGATGCGCTGTGGGCTCCAGGGACCCCCCGGTGTGTACGTGGGCCCCCATCCCATGGAGCCGTTTTTCCCGGAGGGTCACCATCAAACAGCCCCCTGCGGGTTGGGGCCGAATTGGAGAGGATTGTCAGAGCTCAGACTCGTATCCAGCCGGGAAGGATTGCCTGGAAAAGCCAACTGCTGGTGGTAAAAGCGTCCTCGCTGGGTAGAAGTTTGCTGGCTGCTGTGCTCATTCAAACGCAGCACAAGGCAGTGATCGGTGCAGTCAGTCTTAAAGATGTTTTGCAGTACTGGCTCTGTGCTGTCCGTGTTGTAGATGGGGGAACAGCCTGGAAAAGTGACTTGTCTCTTTGTATGGCAAGTCTGGGCCTTATTCTGGAACCACTGGAGAGCCCAAACCCTGTCCTCTTCATTAATCGGCAGCTGACAATGCATATTTTATGAGAGGAAGGGAGATTCTCTTGTAACAGCGCCGAGGAGTGCGTGTGTCCCCATGTGTTACTACAAACTCCTGTCGTGGGGCTTTTTTTTTCATTGTAACTTTAAACTTGGCAAATGTTTGCTTGTCTCCAGATCTATTCACAGCAACTTTCACTGGGACTTTGGCTCGGGTTTGCTGGGGGAAAGGCAGAGAGATACTTCAGCACATTGAAATCCTAGGGTAGGCAGAGCAAGTTGTTGCATTTAGTGGAGCACTTAGGATTTGTGTGAATGAAGTAACAGGAGTTGGAGCTTTGCTTTGCTTTTGTGAGGGGTCTTAATTTCTCTTTGTCAACGTTTGCATTTGCACCAAATCAGTGCTGGGCAGAAACTGTCAGGTAGATGAGGAGAAGGAGATCCCCTGTTTCCTAGCGGCTGTTCCCTTTGTATAGATGGAGGGTGGGTTGGTTTGGATGGAGGGAGGACTTGTCCATGCTGAGAGCATTGATGGCTGGGCTGGATCTTAATGGTCTTTTCCAACCTAGTAGATTCTATGATGGTGGGGCCAGTGGGCTCCTCTGTGTTCTGGAGGAGAGCTGGGACAGAGGGTGACTTGAGTACACTTCCACAAAAGTTTGAGTTTAGGTGGGTCAAGCATTCACATATGACAGAAATGAAGACATGAATATACCTTGAAGGAGTTGTACCTGCAATAAGATAAGAGGGCAAATGGTAGGTGACTTAGATCTAACATACAGATGAGAGACACCAGTAGGTAGGGGTGGAAATCCTGTTACTTGTGTCTGGGGATTCCCTAAGAGCCCAGCTGAAGCTCTAAGGTTACATTTGCAGTGATCAGCTAAGCTCCCTATAAAGTTTGTGCTAGCTGCTCATCCTTACGGTGCCTGTCTTTAGATGTCTAAGCTTGAACAACAGCAGTGCTTGCTGACCCCCACAGCTCAGCTGGGTTTTGGGTCTGCTTTGCTTCATCTTCCCCACTCCCTTTCCATAACACATCCCATTTACATCTGCAGCCAGTGTGCTCAGCGAGCATCCTCTCCTTTCGTTCCATGCTTTTTCTCTATGGAAGTAGAGAACAGCTTTAGCTTTGCCAGAGCATGTGCTGCTTTCTTGGTCACAGAGGTGCTGAAAGTTCCAGCTGCTTGCTTCGGGACCTGGTGAGGCTGCCTGGTGATGAAAAGTCCTCGTCGTGCTTGGCACACATCTCCAGAAGCTTTGCAGCCTCTGCCTCCGCTGGCTCTGGTGCTCTGCCTGCCCAGGGCCCGGTGTCAGGGATGTGAGGAGCTGCCAGGATATCCTAATTCTTACATAAACACGTGCATAGTGATTAAGGACGGAAGTCGAAGTTACGATACGACATGGCACGAGACGTGCAGAGTGTGGGACTGCCCTAGGAACAGCTCTGCTATTAAACAGACATTATCAGGTCATGAGTTAAGGCAACTTAAAAGTAGCCTTGCCACCCACTTGTAGTGTGAGTTTCTTTTCCAGCTCTTATGGTTTTACAATTGCCCTTCTGGTTTTCAGTACTGCCAGCCCTTGGTTGCTGGCTAAAGGTCCCCATGGACAAAAAGGCAAAGTAATTGAAGTACCGGCCTTAATAAAGCAAAATTAGCTTTGCTATCCCTGTGGCGGATGATATATTGGAGGGTAAGAGCTCATCTTACAGACTCTGTAGCCCTAAAGTCTACATTTATATAAGCCTTTTGCAGAGTCAAAGCTTTCCTGTATGTGTGTATAGGTAAACTCCAAATGAGCATGTGGGGGGAAGCTCTTCAATCTCTTTTAGGCATTAGGTGTTAGCTGGAAGGAAAATAGAAATCCTAAAAGTGCAGTCCAAAGTTCTTGACCTCCAATTAAAATAACTTTTCTGTCAGCTTTTATTTTCATTATTGGTGGCAGTTGCATTGGAAATAAATGATGGAAGAAGAAATCTCCCCTTGTCGCTCCCTTTAAACCCAGTGTCTCCCCCTTTAAACCCGATGTCTCCAGCACAGTCTGTGTTTCAGAGCTCACTTTCAAATCCTGTCTTCTCTCAGAGTGTTCCCGTGTTTGTGGCAGATACTTATGGTCTGTGTATGATAATCACCTTCTTGTCCGATGATTATCCCTATCGGGTCCCATACAGACAGCCTGGCATGAGCTCTCAGTGGCCATGGGGCTCCGCAGATCCATGCCAAAATACACCAGCTGAGGGTATAATGCCCACTCTTCAAATCATGCTCACATCATTAACTCTCCTGCTCTCTGGGGAGCTGCTGTGTTATTCACTGGTGGTTTGGAAACATCTCCATCCAGCCACAAAGAGCATCCTTGAACCAATGACTGACAGGCTATGTTTTGGGTGGCTTTTCATCTTGTTCACAGCGTGGAGCCTGCCCCAGTGGCACTTGTCTAATGACACGTGAGTGAGTGCAGCAGGTCAGAGCTGTGTTTATCTGTTATTTCCACTGAGGTTGTCAGCTGCCGATGCTATTGATCATGGAATTCTGTTTTTAAAAGGCTGAATTCATGTAAAAGGCTTACTTGGTCCTCCAGCAGCCTGGTTCAGACCTCACATATCCTAATCCTGACAGATTTATCACTGCAGTCTCTGTGTTTCTAACATATCTCACGTTGCCAGTGCAAATTGTCTGAGGAATCCAGCTGGGCTTTGCTTTGTCAGTATTCATGTGCATCCTTTTGGGCATACCTGTGTGAGCTGTAGTATTGCATGTGAATGGTGAGCAGCAAGCTCCATTTGCCAGGCAAGCAGCAGGATACAGCCAGCAGAGCAGCCTGCATGTGTGGCCAAGGTGCTTTAGCATCCCAGCTTCTGCTGGAGGTGCCACCAAGCCTCCTGTCCCAGAACATGGCTTAGAGACTGCATGTTTGAGGGCTGATGCGGTGGGTTTTCTCTTGACTTTAGCTATGAGACTTGTAAACAGAGAATTGGCATTTCCAGGGTGTTTGCAGTTAGGTCTGAATTACAGCTACGTTTATGCATGTAGATATAGGTACATTTAAATGAGCTCTTAGGCAGAAGCTCTTCCCTGTGAGGGTGCTGAGGCACTGGCACAGGGTGCCCAGAGAAGCTGTGGCTGCCCCATCCCTGGCAGTGCTCAAGGCCAGGTTGGACACAGGGGCTTGGAGCAAGCTGCTCTAGTGGAAGGGGTCCCTGCCTGTGGCAGGGGTTAGAGCTGGAGGAGCTTTAAGGTCCCTTCAACCCAAACCATTGCAGGATCTATGATAACGGCCAGGCTCTGCTACACCGGCCGGCTCTCCCCAGCTCTCTATCTCACACAGAATCCAGTCCTTCTTAGGATGCCAGGCCTTTCATGTTATTCATATTGGAAGGATTTTTTATTTAATGCCCTTTTCTGATGGCTTTTTTTCCTCTGCGCGTTGTTGTGTTTTACTCCATGCCATCTCCAGTTTGGAGTTTGGAGAAGAGGAGATTGAGGGGTGACCTTATTAGTGTATATAAATATATAAAGGGGGAGTGTCACGAGGATGGAGCCAGGCTCTTCTCAGTGGCAAACAATTATAGGACAAAGGGCAATGGGTACAAACTGGAACACAAGAGGTTCCACTTAAACTTGAAAAGAAACTTCTTCTCAGTGAGGGTGACGGAACACTGGAACAGGCTGCCCAGGGAGGTTGTGGAGTCTCCTTCTTTGGAGACATTCAAAACCCGCCTGGACACGTTCCTGTGTAACCTTATCTAGGTGTTCCTGCTCCGGCAGGGGGATTGGACTAGATGATCTTTTGAGGTCCCTTCCAATCTCTAGCATACTGTGATACTGTGATACTGTGATCTCAGATTTTGCTCTTCCTATTGCATGCA